ACGTGTGCTAGGATGGGCCGGCACTTGGCCACGTTCACCCGTGCACCTGGCTCGAGTCTGTACACACTGACCACTGAGTCCCCTCAGGTAGCTGCGTCTGCGTCTGCGTCTGCGTCTGCGTCTGGTCAGCTGGCGGCCCCCTGCGAGTGTCGCGCTTTGTCGCACGACACTCTCCTGTGGCACCACCGCCTTGGTCACCCCTCCTTGCCTCGCCTGCGTAGCATGCACTCTCGCTCCCTGGTCTCTGGTCTCCCCAGGTCTCTGCCTGCCCTCCCTCCCTCGCCTGCGCCGCCCTGCATTCCTTGCGTCGAGGGGCGGCAACGCGCTGCTCCTCACTCCTCCTCGTTTCCTCCCACAGAGGCTCCACTGCAGACGCTCCACCTGGACGTGTGGGGCCCAGCCCGCGTCCAGGGACAGGGCCACGAGCGGTACTTCCTGCTGGTTGTCGACGACTACACGCGTTACACCACGGTCTTCCCCTTGCGGAGCAAGGCGGATGTCCCTGCTGTTTTGATCCCTTGGATCCGCGCTGTTCGTCTCCAGCTCCGCGAGCGGTTCCGGTCGGACTTTCCTGTCCTGCGTCTGCACTCTGACAGAGGTGGTGAGTTCTCCTCCGACCTCTTGGCAGCCTACTGTGCGGAGCACGGCATCACCCAGTCGTTCACGCTTCCGGCCTCTCCGCAGCAGAATGGGGTTGCTGAGCGCCGCATTGGTTTAGTCATGGAGGTCGCTCGTACCTCCATGATCCATGCGGCTGCCCCCCATTTTCTGTGGCCGTTTGCGGTCCGGTACGCCGCGCATCAGCTCAACCTCTGGCCCCGTGTCTCCTTGCCGGAGACCTCGCCCACACTGCTGTGGACGGGGAAGGTTGGCGATGCGTCGCGTTTCCGGGTCTGGGGTGCTCGTGCCTTTGTCCGCGATACCACCGCGGACAAGCTCTCCGCCCGCGCTGTTCCCTGTGTCTTCCTTGGCTTTGTCCCTGACGCGCCTGGTTGGCAGTTTTACCACCCCGCCTCGCGCCGTGTCTTTGCGTCTCAGGACGTCACGTTCGACGAGTCGGTTCCCTTTTACCGTCTCTTCCCCTACCGCACTGCCTCGCTCCCCCCCCCGCCGCTCTTCCTCGCTCCAGGTGCTCCCCAGGTAGACCCCCTCCCCGCTCCCGGTCCTGCTCCTTCAGGTGTTTCTCAGGTAGACCCTCCTCCCTTGACTGCGCCGGTTGAGGTCACTGGTGACTCAGGTCCTACTGAGAGTGGTCCTGCTCGGGGTGCTACTTCTGGGGGTGCTGAGCCTGGGGGTGCGGAGCCTGAGGGTGCTGAGCCTGGGGGTACTGAGCCTGAGGGTGCGGAGCTTGAGGGTGTGGAGCCTGGTGGTGCTGAGCCTGAGTGTGAGGGGTCTGGGGGTGCTGAGCTTGGCGGTACTGACGCTGGAGGTTCTGGAGCTACTGAGGGTGCTGGCGCTGGAGGTTCGGGAGCTGCTGGAGGGCCTAGTACTGGTGGCGCTGGAGCTAGAGGTTCTGGAGCTGCTGAGGGTGCTCGCGCTGGAGGTTCTGGAGCCGCTGGAGGTACTGGTGCTGAGGGTACTGACACCGGAGGTTCTGGAGCCGTTGGGGGTGCGGGCGCTGAGGGTTCTGAGTCTGCTGTTGCGCGGTCTCCTTGGAGTAGCCGCCTTCGTCCACGTGTGCCTCTCACCCCACAGCAGCTGCAGGACTGGTACGGTCGCCGTCAGCGTCGCGCTGCTGGAGCTAGGAGTGGTGCTGGTCCTTTGTCTACTGGAGGTGCTGGAGTCGCTGGTTCTGGAGGTACTCGTGCTGGAGACATTGAGGCTGGAGACCCTGGGACTGGAGGTGCTGGTTCTGGGGGTGCTGCTGCTGGAGACACTGAGGCTGGAGACCCTGGGACTGGAGCTTCTGGAGCTGCTGGAGGTACGGGAGCTGCTGGAGGTACTGGAGCTGCTGGAGGCACTGGAGCTGCTGGAGCTGCCGGTACTGCTGGAGCTGCCGGTACTGGTGCAGCTGCGCCGACACGGCTGTTCTTCGCTCCGCCGTCTCCGTCGTCTCTGCCGCCGTCTGACTCTGCTCTTCGTCAGGTTGTTACTCTCCCGTCGTCTACTGGTCTTCCGTTACAGCCTGGCTCACCGCTGCCTGCTCCTTCTCCTTACACTGAGCAGACTGGTAGTCCTGCTAAGCGTCGTGAGCCTGCGTCGCGTCCTGTCTCGCCTGCTCGTCCTGGTCGTACCGGTCGTCGTGTTCCTCGTTCGCGTCAGCCGGCTGTCCCCAGCGCACGCCTCGTAGTCCGTCGTCCTTCCTCTGCTCTGCAGCCTGTTCCTCTGCCGTCTCCCCCTGCGTCCTCTCTGCCTGCCGTTCTGGACCCTGAGTCTGACAGGTTTCGTACTGAGCACCCTACTGTCACGCGTCTCCTAGCCACTGTTGTCACTGACCCGTCGTTTGAGTCTACTGCTGCGTCTGCCTTGGTCGCTGAGCTTGTTGACTTTGCTGCTGCCTGTCGTCTAGACTACGCCGCTAGTCTTGTTGCTGAGTCTGAGTCTGTCTGTCCTCCGTCCGTCGGGGGTGAGTGTGCTCTTAGCACGGACGTCCTTGAGGACAGGCAGGAGGAGTTCCAGTGTCTTGCTGCTGCTTTACCTCATCTTGTGTCCTCGCTACTTGCCCCTGAGGGAGACCCGGATGCACCAGACATCCCGACTCCGCGCTCTTACGCAGAGGCGATAGAGGGTCCCTACTCCTCTCAGTGGCAGGCAGCCATGGACACAGAGATGGCTTCCTGGAAGTCCACAGGCACCTACGTTGACGAGGTTCCCCCACCTGGGGCGAACATCGTCAGTGGCATGTGGATTTTCAGGGTGAAGCGGCCGCCGGGTTCTCCGCCTGTCTTCAAGGCGCGTTACGTGGCTCGAGGCTTCAGTCAGCGAGAGGGAGTTGACTTCTTCCAGACCTTCTCCCCCACCCCGAAGATGACTACTCTTCGAGTGCTGCTGCACGTTGCTGCTCACCGTGACTACGAGCTTCACTCTCTTGACTTCAGCACAGCTTTCTTGCAGGGTAGCCTGCACGAGGAGATCTGGCTGCGCCGCCCCCCGGGCTTCACTGGGTCGTTCCCTCCTGGTACCCAGTGGAGCCTCCGGCGGCCGGTCTACGGTCTCCGCCAGGCGCCACGTGAGTGGCACGACACACTGAGGACTACGCTTGCGGCTCTTGGGTTTGCGCCTTCTACTGCTGACCCGTCGCTGTTTCTGCGCACCGACACTTCCCTGCCGCCGTTCTACATCCTCGTGTACGTCGACGACTTGGTTTTTGCCACTGCTGACACTGAGGCTCTCGCCCACGTGAAGTCGGAGCTGCAGAAGAGACACACGTGCACAGACTTGGGTGAGCTGCGCAGCTACCTTGGCTTGCAGATCACCCGAGACAGAGCACGCCGCACCATCACCTTGACTCAGTCACACATGGTGCAGCAGGTCCTTCAGCGCTTCGGCTTCACCTGGTCTTCAGCACAGGCCACTCCTCTGGCTACAGGTCACACGATCTCAGCTCCACCTTCGGACGAGTCCGTAGAGCCGAGTGGTCCTTACCCAGAGCTAGTTGGCTGCCTCATGTACCTGATGACTTGCACTCGACCTGACCTCGCGTACCCTCTTGGTCTCCTGGCTCGCTACGTGGCTCCTGGTCGGCACCGACCTGAGCACATGGCTGCTGCTAAGAGGGTACTGCGTTACTTGTGCAGCACATCAGGCATGGGGCTAGTGCTTGGAGGGACGAGCCCAGTTGTCCTCACTGGGCACTCAGACGCTTCTTGGGTTGACGACCTGGCTACTCAGCGGTCGTCACAGGGTTACACCTTCAGCCTTGGCTCTGGTTCAGTTTTGTGGCGTTCTACACGCTCGTCTTCAGTTCTCGGCTCCAGTTGTGAGGCTGAGATCTACGCCACCGCCATGGCTGCACAGGAGTTACGCTGGCTCACCTACCTGCTGACTGACTTGGGAGAGCAGCCTCGTTCTCCTCCAGTGCTGTACGTTGACAACAAGGCCGCCATTGCCTTGTGTGAGGAGCACAGACTGGAGCACAGAACGAAGCACATTGCTCTGCGTTACTTCCTGGCTCGAGAGTTGCAGCAGCGAGGCCAGCTTCGTCTTCGCCACGTGGCCACTCGGGCCAACACTGCTGATATATTCACCAAGGCACTTCCGTCTGGTGATCATCAGCGCTTTTGTACTCTGTTAGGCCTTGTGCCTACGTTTCCACACTTGCTGTAGTCTCTGCTTGTACTGTGATCTGTACATATATATATATGCATGCTGGCTCTTGCTAGGTAGCCATCACTGTACTGTTATTGCTGCATATATATCTCTGCATGTGAACTGGCCCTGTGGCCCTTTGCTTGTGCTCGGAATGCGTGGTGACGTTGTGATCCACCCTGAGCTTGTTTTGCTTCTCTTGACTGGTCGTGTGACCCCTTGTTCTCCCCTACTTTGCCTATGGGGGTGTGTCAAACTATATGTGCTGCATATTGTCTAGGCTGTAGTGGGGTAGCCCATATGGGGTACAACCCAATTAGGGTTTACTACTTGTACTCCTGCATCCTGTTAGTTCATTCATTCCTGCTGCTAGATTCTAACAGTTTGTACTCTCTTGAACTGGCCTTGTGGCCTCTTGTTTGTGCTTAGACTGTGTGGTGACGTTGTGATCCACCCTGAGCTCTGTTTGCTCTCTTGCTTGTGACTGGTCTTGTGACCTTAGGTTGTGTTTTGTTGCTTGGCATTCCCCACTTAGGCTATGGGGGTGTGTCAAATGTTATAGCCTCTAGTGGGTTATGCTATATGGGGTACAAACAGTTAGGGTTAGGCATTTGTACCCCAACACAATCAATCTAACTCATTCCGCTGTTTTCACTTCGTAAGACAGCTTCACATTCCTAGATGCAAAGGAAAAAACTATAAATAATAGAGACATGATTACGGTATGAGGCAATGCGTGGGCTCGTGAGCAGTCACAGCTTGGAAGGAGTGGTTGTGGGCAGGCCTGGGGAGACGCATTGTGGGAGAGGGGAGGAATAGAAGATGGGGGAGTGGAAGGGGATGAGGGAAGAAGAATATAGGTGCGCAGGATAAACGGAGAGTTGTGGTGTGTTTGGGAAGAGCCAAATTGGAAAGCGGAACTTAGCAGGATCACAAAATCACACCCCATGCACCACATGCACGCAGATAACTGCTCAACATTCACAATGCTGCGGCACAAATTGCACCACTCATCCACACACCGTACACCAGACACCAGACACCTCACCTAGCTGCTTGGCGTTGACGATGCTGGGGCACGCCTTGGGCGGCGGGTAGGTGGGATCGAGGAAGGGCAGCACGTCATTAGGGTTGTGCCACACGGGGTAGCCCTGTAGCTGTGACTGCGGGGCAGCATAAAGGGGGTTGGGAAAGAGCGATGGTTGCGTGTGAGGGAAAAGAGGAGGGGTGAAAAGGGGGTATGGCAGCACGTCATTTCAGTTGTGCCACACGGGGTAGCCCTGTAGCTGCGACTGCGGGGGAGCATCGAAGGGTTGGGGAGGAAAGGGGAAGGGAAGCGGAAGGGAAAGGGATGGAGACAAGAAAGGAGGGCAGGTCATTGGGCTGGGGCACACCAGATGCCTCTCCAGCTTCGCCTGATGCAGAAAGGAGGGGAAACACAACAATTGCATGGTGACGGGTGTGAGTTGAGTATGTCGATTGGGGCAGTGGGGCAGAGAAAGCAAGGAGAGGCAATATACGGCATGACTCCTGATTGAAAGTGGCAGTGTGTGTCAGACACGGTCAACAAGCAGAGAGCAGAGCAGCAGAGCAACTCACAGCAACATGGAGAGCAGCGAGGGCTGCCATGCCTACATGCGTTTACTGAGAGGCGGACAATGTGCGGCACAGCAGCATGTGTGAGTGAGGTGAGGTGAGCGGCACATGTGCGTGAACGTGAAGAAGGGCGTTCAACTCACAGCGACGTTGAGAGCAGCGAGGGCAGCCATGCCGGCGCGCGTCCACTGCGAGGCGGAGGCGATGTGCGGCACGGCCACCACGTTGGGCAGCGTTGAGAGACCCGGCTTCATCCGCGGCTCGTCCTGATGGGGCCCGCCGCATGGGGGACGAGGGGCATGGGGAAGGCGAGGGGAATGGGGAGAGATGAACGGGGTAAACTGAATTTGGATCAGTGGCAGCGTGTGCGGCAGGGGTGGTGAGCGTGTTCTGAGAATGTTCGAAAGGGAGGTTTGTGAGGCGTGGATAAGAGAGGATCGTCCTTCTGATGCAGAGTGATGGAGGCGGCATGGGTGAATTGCAGGGGGTCGTACAAGGGGCGAGAGAGGGGGGGACAAATTTAGGGGTGTAGGGTGCTGTATTGACGGCCTATGTTAATGAAGGTCCATTGGAGGGAGGGACGGATTGAAGGGGTGGGACTGGCAGGGCGCTCACAGCTCTGCAAGGCCATTCTCAGGCGCTCATGCGATTTAAAGGGGTGAGGGGCAACATGCATAGGATGCGCTCTCAGACATCTCAACAGTTCAAACAGGAAAACGCGAGGGGGTAGGTATGCATAGGTGAGAAGCTATGACGGTGAGCTGTGCCGTGGGAGCAGTGCAGTGCAGTGCAGTGCAGTGCACGCACCTCAAAGACGTCGAGAGCAGCTCGGAAGGCGGGGTTGGCCTTGAGGTGCCTCACCAGCGCCACCTCGTCCACCACCGGCCCCCTGCTGCAGTTCACCAGTATGGCATCCTGTGGGGGAGAGGGGAGTTATGATGGCAAAACGAGGGGGCATGTCAGGGCATGGGGGAATACGAGGCATGAGCGCCACCTCGTCCACCACCGGCCCCCTGCTGCAGTTCACCAGTATGGCGTCCTGATGGGTGAGAGGGCCAAACCAGCCATGATGGGCACAGAACATGGAGAGATTGTGCATGGGATGGGAGAAGCATGGGTGCACGGCACGCGAGGCAGCCGTGGCACCTTGTCCACCACCCTGCTGCAGTGCTGGTCAGCAGAACGGCGAGCTGAGAGGAAGGGGCGCATGGCAGGCAAGGCGGAGAGATTGTGCAACGAGGGGGCACGCGAGTTGGTGTGGTGTGTGTGAGGCAGAGGTGTTGTGTCGTCCTTCCCAGTTGGCCAGCATGGCGTGTGGAGGTGGGGTGGGAGAGAGAGGTGGTGGACCAACAAGGGGGGATTGTGCAAGAAGATGCGGGGGGACATGGGGAGCAGCCGCATAGCACGCCAGGCTCCAATCCAGACAATGGAAATCACCATGGAAAAACACATCGAGACAAGTAACTAACTATTTTCTAGCGCAATGATGGCATGGCAGTGATTGCGTGGCAGTGATTGCATTGCATGGCAGTGATTGCATTGCAGTGATTGCATGGCAGTGATTGCATGGCAGTGATTGCATTGCATGGCAGTGAATGCATGGCAGTGAATGCATGGCAGTGAGTGCATGGCAGTGAATGCATGGCAGTGATTGCATGGCAGTGATTGCATTGCATGGCAGTGAATGCATGGCAGTGAATGCATGGCAGTGAGTGCATGGCAGTGAGTGCATGGCAGTGAGTGCATGGCAGTGATTGCATGGCAGTGTACCTTCTTCATCATGTTGAGCCGTCTCTCGTCCAGCAGGTGGAAGGTGGTCTTATCGAGTACAGGGTGTAGCGACACCTACAGGGCCGAATGGAAGAGAAAGCATTGGGATAGGATGCGATGGGATGGGATGATGGCAAGGGATGGGATGATGGCAAGGATGGGATGGTTCGGATCAAAAGCATGTGCGCAACATGCCCCTGCCTACATGCTACTCCAGTTGTCCCAACCAATGCTCTTCTCGGTACACGACAAAATCATGCATGCACCATGACACCGCGTACACCTCAGCAGCTTACCACGTCAGCAACCTGCAGCACCTCCTCGGGACTGGACGCTCTGCGCCATGTCACCGGCGGCTCGCCCTGTGATTGGAGGAAGCGGGAATAGGCTGGCGGGAGCCAGAGAAGGCGGAGAGGGAGGAAGGTGAATAAGGTTGCGGTGAATAAGAGAGACGAGAGTGAGTAGAGAGAGAGGGGGTATGGTATTTGAACTGAAGGTGTTGCAAGTGCAATACAGAGAAGTGTGTTGCAGTGAAACTGTTATGAGGCGTGAGTAAAAACTTCAAGCGTGTAATTGGCTTTCAAAGTGTAATTGATATGAAACGTTTTCAATAGCATGTTCCTCTGTTGCGTGACACGCCTCTCCCCTTCTTTCTCCAGCACTCCCGCCACTCCCGTCTCATTCTTCCCTCCCCTCCTCTCTCGCCACTCGCCCCCCACACCACCCCCACGCCCCCCCTGGCTCACCGGAGACACTCTCCTCCAGGCGCTTGGACTGGTACAGGTCGTAGTAGATGAGGTTCATCTTAAAGCCCTCCACCTGCCAGGGGAGGAGACGGGGGAAAGAGAGGGTAGAGAGGGGAGAGGGAGAGTGGGGAGAGAAAGAAGGGAGGGGGAATAGGAGGATCCATTGTCATGTTTGTTCTGGGTAATTGGTTGAAGCCAGGAGGACGCAAGGGGCTGTTCCACATGGGGACCCTTTCAACTGAAACTACAAAAATCCCCAGCAGCGCATTCTATGACACTCGCTCCACTCTTGCCTATAGGTGCAGGAGCAGGGGCGAGGGTGAGGATGCAAGAGCGGCACAATGAAGGGAGTTGGCTGATCCTCTCCCTGCCCTTGCCTGCGCTGCTGCACCCTCCGAGTCTGCTGTTGGCTACCACTCACCATCCATTGTATCACATCATCTCCACATCCCCCCATCTCTCATCACTCCATCCATCCAAACCCCATTCCCCCATCGACCATTCCCCCCATCCCCCATTCTGCCGTTCCACCCATGGGGTCATCCCCCCCGATCCCCCTTCCCCCCCACCATCACCCCCCGTGCAGCGCACCATCATGCGCGCATAGGCGCTGCCAATGCGCCCCGCACCGATGATGCCCACCGTCTGCCTCCGCCTTGAGCAGGTTGCCGATGAACCTGCGGTGCGGCGCAGGGGGAGGGGGGCATGGGGGGAGGGCAGAGGGGGGGAGATGGGGGTGGCAAGGGAGGGAGAGGGGAGAGAGAGGTGGGTGGGTGGGAGGAGGGAGAGAGGGGGGCGGGTATGGGGAGAGAGGAGGTTGGGAGGGGGGATAAGAGCGAGGCAATGCCCCGTGTGCCCCAGTGAGCAGGCTTAAGATGAAGGTGAGAAAGAGGGAGGAGGAGGGCACAGTGCGGAGTTGAGTGATGACGCGCAAGCGGCATGCAGCAGCACCAAACTGCATTTCACCGACCTTCTCTCGCCACTCACATGCTGCACGCGCAGTCAACACCCCATCCCCACTGCCAACCTCACCGCCTTCGCCTCTCCCCTCCCCACTCACGTGGTTGCCTGCCACCGCCCCCACTGGTCCCAGCACCACTACCAGCCCCATACCCACTACCAGCCCCGCCACGCCCCCCTTGCGCCCCTCCACCGCGCTCCCCCGCGGGTGACTCACATGGTGGGCAGCCAGCCGTCGGACTCACATGGTGGGCAGCCAGCCGTCGTACTTGCCGGCGCGCATGAAGCAGTCCGCCTCCACCACGCGCCGCGCCGCCGCCAGCGTCAGCGCCGCCGCCAGCTCCGCCGTCGTCTCCGTTAGCACGCCCTGCGGGGAGGGGGTTGGGGAAAGGGGGAAGGGAAAAGGGAGGGGGGGAGGGGGATGGGGAGGGGAAGGGTGAGGGGGTGCAGCGGCGTGAGGAGCGTGGGAGCGCCGGGGCTGGCTGCATTGCCCTCGCCTCGCCTCGACGCCACGCGAGCTCTCGTGCATGCATGGCCACAAATGCTGCCGTGTGAGGCCACGCACAATGCAACTCCCTCCTCTCTACCTACTCCATTTGGTCCGTCCCTGTCCGCTGCTGTTGCTGCTGCTACTGCCCATCACCGACGGCTACCGCCAAGGGAATGGCCAGACGAGCAGCGAGAGACCACTGACGGGCGCGCGGGGCACTCACGGGTGTGTTGCCGACGGCGATGCCGTGGCGCGTGGCGGCGTCGACATCGACGTTGTTGTACCCCACCGCCATGTTGCTGTACGCCCGCCCGCCCGCGCGCGCCAGCGCCGCGAACAGCCGCTCGCCCCACTCCTCCGTGAGCTGGCGGATACGAGGGGGCGGAAGGGGAATGCGGAGGGGGAGAGAAGGGGAGTGGGAGCTTGGTTTGGGGAGTTGGGCATGTTGGGTCATGGTGGGCATCGGCGACAGATGCGACCATGTGAACGGTGAACAGCTGCTGCTGTTGGCGACTTGTCGGTATAGGCACGCATCTGCTCGATACAGGCACATGCTCGTTGAGGCAGCTGGTCGCTGCGCGCACCTGGCCAATGACGCCGTCGCATCTGTCGCCGATGAGCTGCAGGATGTCGTCCACCGACAGAATCGTCTTGCTCGCCGTGCAGATCTGTCGCACGCGGAGCGGAGGAGGACCGGCGCAACGACAGGGAAGGGGGAAGGTGGGGGGGAAATCGCGAGCTTAATCAAATGGAAAAATGAAACGCGAAAAGAAGAAAGTACATTGGTTGTCATGACTGAACTTTAAATATGGCAAACAAATTCCTTTCCGTGGATGCGCGGAGCAGCGAAGCGAGATAACGGCTCGTGTGGCTGCCAGCTAGCAGCATCGACATCGACATATACCCCTGAGGGGCTTCGAACGCCTACGCACCTCGAGTCGGCAATCTGCAGCAACTAGCGCGTCAATCCAGCTGGTTCCCGGCATAGACTTTGTGGAAACCACGCGGAACCTTCCATTTGGGTTGAATACCTGCAAATTCCGCCACAGCCGAGCCACATTCGTGACTGCGCAGAATCGCGGAGCATTGGGTTCAGATGGATTCAGCGAACGACGAGGTTGCTAAGTGCCCTAAATTCCGCGTCGTACCTGAACGGGAAGCTTTGGGGACGCCATGGAGTGGAGAGAGCAGCTGTGGAGACGGACGATCGTTTGTCGCGGAACGAATTCTCCTCAGGCGATTCGAGAAAACTAACGTTGCTGGAGCGTTTCAGTGAAGTTGGGAAAGGGATAAGGTTGCAACAGGAATCGGGATGGTAGGGAGAACGGGAGTGGTTTTGTTGTGGTGGGGTGTTGAAATGGTTGGGAGGAGTACATGTGCGGATGTTGGTTTGGGTGGGTGATCCTCCCAGCCTTGAAGTTGACGAACGGCGACTGAAAGCATCTGCCACGTGGTAAGCATCTCGCCACAAAACTGCTCACTGGTTGTGACTGGGAGGGAGGAAGGTGGTGGTCTTTTTGGGTATGGGGGGGATTCATGCATACGCTGATTGGTGGATGTCTATAGATGCATCCGACATGGCGGATCTTGCGTCAGCAAGGTCTGAGTATGACGACGGGGTGGTTAGAGACATTCTTCGTTATTGCGTTTATTATACAGCAACCACAATACTAGGGCTCATGCTAACAGACTATCTACGGTTATGATGTATCTTTTTATGGGTGCAATGTGTTACGATAAAAAAGGTGATCAACCCTAGGATCTCCTCAAGAAGGTTCGCACACAGTTGGGTAGTGGTGGTGGGCCCTTGACCTCAATAGCAGAGTGAATGTAAAATGCTTGAGATGATTAAAACTTGCAAATACAGAAGGTATAAATATGAGTACAGGGGAATTCGAATCGACCTAGCTAGCCATGTACTCAAAGGGGTACATTCCCTTATTCAAATTCATTCCCAACCGTGCGGCGCGTACAGTTACGAAACTGTTCCCACCGAATTCCTCTTGCCTGCGGCTGCCCGATGCCATCTCCTCCGACGGTCCAGATCCATTCTAACTGTCTGTGTCGCTTCGGGTCAACTTTAACTCCTCGCATTCATTCTCAATACAGTGTGCTTCCCTTAGCTGCGGTTAGGAGTACACAGTAATGCTTCATTCTTTGCTATTCGTAACACCCCCCTTCACTCCTGTTGGTAACTCGACTTGACCTGCTTGACCACACCGCTGAGTTCGGAGCAGTGCTGGTACTGCTGGCGTGGCAGTCGCTTCGTTAGGAAGTCGGCTTCCATGACACCTGTTGAGCAGTAGGATAGGTCCACCTTGCCTTTGTCCACTTCGTCCTTGACGAAGAAATACTACAGCGCAATGTGTTTGGTGCGGTTAACGAAGCCGGGCTTGTTGGCGATGCGGATCGCGCTTTGATTCTCGTAGTAAGGCGAAAGGTGGGCGAAGCTGGAATTTTCGCCTCCTGCAGGAGTTCTTGCAGGTAGAGACCTTCGCGAATTGCTGTTGTAGCTGTGATGAATTCCGCTTCAGCTGATGACAAGGCAACCAACTCTTGCTTTTGTGAATTCTATGAGATTGGTCCCGTTGGCTCGAGTCGGAACAGGAAGCCAGTCCTGGACCGTCGATTGTTGGGGTCTGCTGCGTGATCGACGTCCATGTAGCCGATGAGATTGAAGGATGAGGTTGTCACTGTCGAGTAGCAGAGCCCAATCTTGGGCATTGAAACGAAGAACTGTAAGGCGCGCTGCAGGTCTAGAAGATTCTCAGCCGTTGGGTTGCGAGAGTACTGAGCCATATGGCTCGCGATGTAGGAAAGGTCGGGCCTGCATGTGACAGAGGCGAAGAGCAGGCATCCCAACTGCTGTTGACAGGTCTGAATTCCAGCAGGGGATAGGGCCTTGTTGTCAGGTTTTTGGTGCGGTCCGGGGGTTTGGTAAGGAGTTGAGAGTGGTGCAGGCGAAATGTTGAAGCGTTTCCCAAGCTCCTCTGCATACTTGGACGCTAAGAGGTGGATAGCTTATGGCTCGTAGGAGATATTAAGTCCTAGGAACTGCTTCACCTCGTAGTTGCATGTAACTACCCCGCCAGGCTCTTCTCGAACTGCTCCAATAGTTCATTGCTTGACCCCGTGTAAAGAAGGTCATCGACGTAGACCGTGAGCAGGATGTATTCCCCGCGGAAGTCACGACAGTACATCCCTGGGTCATGAGGCAGCTTCTTGAACCCAATTTCAAGCAGGATGTTGTGAAGATACTGCTGCCAAAGCCTCGGCGCTTGCTTGATCCCCTAAAGGGACTTGCGCAGCTGGCATACGCGCGAGTCCCCTTCGCCGTATGTGTGCGGCTGCTCCACGTAGATCGCAACATCCACTAATGCGTACAAGAATGCGTTCTTCACATCGATCTGGCGCAGAGGCAGGTGTCTAGCAGCTGCGATGGCGAGCAGGATTCGGACGGAGGTGTTTGAGGAAGAGACGTTCGTAGAATATGACATCGCGCGCGTGGGCCTTACGCTCGTGACTGATGCCGAGGTGAATTCCCCAGCGCGCGCGGCTGGCAAATTTGCCGATTGTTGACGTCGGCGGGCGGTATTGTACCATGCACCCCCACACGTGGAGCATTGACATGTCCCTCTACTTGACAGGACAGGTTGCCGGTGATGGCGGTGGTTGACAGCAGGTTGTGCACTCGCACGGCGTGGTGCATCGCGGAGGTACAGTAGATCGGCGGCAGCTTCGATTGCTTCATCAGCGCCCGTACCTTCGTCATGAGCGTGCGGTTTGTCCGCTCGGCTACGTTCTGCTGGTGGTGCACGTAAGGGAGAGAGATGTGATGCTCGATCCCCTTTTGCGCCAGGTAGTCCTGCATCTCCTTTCTCCTGAATCTCGCTGCGCCGTCAGATTGCCCGATCTTCAGCTTCTCCCCAGACCGCCGCTGCGCGTGCGTCAGCCGGAGGCGGAATACTTCGTATGCTCTGCTGCGCGCTTCCACGTTCACGACCCACATGTAGCGCGTTCCAGCATCGATGAAGGTGAGCGTATACATCCACAGTGCCCCACGTTCAGGAAGTCGCTGTACACCTTGTGCAGCTTGGGGTAGCGGTTCGTTCCTGGCTCGAGCAGCGGGAACGGCTGGTGGCTCAGCGCAGCTTCGGGGCAGATGGTGCAGTTGCGCGGGTGTGTCGCGCTCTCACTTCGGCGCCATCAGGGCGCAGGAGCGCCCCAGGAGCGAAAACTCCTGCGTAGATGCAATTTTTCAGCGTCGCATGTGAGGGGTGTCCGAGGCGCTGGTGCCAGAGTGCATCGTCAGCGCGAAAATCGGAGGTGCGCATATAGCGCACGCGAGCTTCTTCGGGGTATTCGTCAGGTACATGAGTAGGTGCTGCTTCATCTTCGTCATTGGCGGAAGTTAACATTAGCGCCAAGAACTCTCTGTCGCGAATTTCAGAGAGCGGGATGTTGGTCCCAGGGATGGTTCCAGGGACGAAGGTGGGTTCACGCGGCTCGGGAGCAGGTCCGTAAACGGTGCGGTGTGGGGTTGACAGTTCGTTGCCCCAATCAATGGTGTCCCAGGGATCGCGATGCGGCGGAATTTCAGGAGGAGGTAGTGCGGGTGGAGCATGGCGTGGGGGGCGACCAAGGGGAAAAACTACAGGTATAGCCCCTGCTTCTTCCTTTGCTTCTTCTCCCCCTGTTTGTTCTTCGTGGGAAATCCCCCAGCCGCTGCCTTCGTCGCTAGTTGCAGCACCCCAGCCGCCGCTTGCGTTGGCCCAGGTTCCGCCGCTGTTGCCCCATCCGCCGGTGTCACTCGTTCCCCATCCGCCAGCGCTTCCCCACCCCCCTTCATTGGAGGCGCTTTCCTCCTCTTCGGCTCCCCATGCGCTGCAGGCGAATGCCCCGCGCGCTTCGGCGAGACTGTGTCGGCGAAGCTCCTCAGCTGCGCGGCGCGCCAATTCTTCTTCTTGTTCCACAGTAAGTTTTTTCGTCGAGTCGCGCCGATGAGAGTAGATCTCCAAAAACTTCTCTCGTGTGTAGGGTCGCGGCACGCCATGCGCATCGAAGGTGCCGACGCTAGTGCCGCGCAACATGCCTTGGAGATGCTGTGAGGGGGGTCCGATGAGAGGGTGTTCTGGTGTGCCGAACACGCCGCGCATGGTGATTTCGAGCTCCAGCTGCGACATCCCTTCTTCTCGTGGTGCATGTCGCTCTGCTTCGGCGATGGCGGCAAGCCCACGACCGGCAATCGCGCTAGTTGACGCGGTAGGTGTGTGGCAATCCCTGCAGATGTCGTCTCGATCAGGGTCGTGCAGCGCCACTTTGCGTGGGTGGGGGTGATGCGTCACCCATGGTCTTCCGTCAGGGTGCTTCCAATCCATGCGGTGGATGTGTTCGAAGCGCTGTGGAACGAGATCGATTAACTGCAGTCGGGGATGTTGAAATCCAAGACGTACACTCCATTTTCGGAGTGTGCCCGTCCGATCTGCCTGCGGGAGAAGGTCTTCAATTTGTAGTGCAGCAGGATGTCGCGTGTCTCGGGGTCCGTGCTGAGATCAACACCGCAATCCATGAGTTGGGCGGTGGAAAGCAGGTTGAAGCACAGGTTCTGGACGATCAGCACATCGTTGAGTGTGATGTGCGTGCGGCTTCCCCGTGCCTTGAACACGACAATTCCTTGCGCGCTTGCGTGCAGGCGCGTGTTGTTGGCCACAGTGACGTAGGTGACCGTGGGCGTGACGACAGTGTTGGATATGTAACGCTCGGAGCCCACCATGTGCTGGCCGCAGCAGCTGTCCAGGTACCATGTGTTGTAGCGCTTCCTATCGTCACGTGCGAGCAGCGCCAGTCGCGGCGTGACAATGTGAGGTGTGTCGAATTTGAGAAACTGCTCGCGCGAGAGCCAATCGAGTGGCGCCACCCGCATATCAGGTACGTGCGGGGGACTTTCAAGCAGCGGGACTGGAAGGTTCCAGTCTTGGTCGTCGTCGTCGGTGAAGTCGTGGCGCGGACTGAATTAATTGTTGTTGGAGAACGCGCCAATGGGGTGCGGTGCTGGCTCAGGTGATGGTGAGCGCACGCGGCGACGACGCGACTCGCCTGTCATGGCCATGTTGCTCATGACGTTGCATACAGGGGCAGGCGGTGACGGCTGCTGCTGCTGATGCTGAACCGCTGGGTTCAGGTTGCGCGGGGGGGGTTGATACCCCTGGGCTGGACGCACGTCGCCTCGTGCGTCTTGTCGGCCGGACCAGTTGCTCGGATTGGTCTGGCGAGGGCGAGATCGGGACTTGCATCGATCTGCCAGATGCCCGAAGGTTCTGCAAATTTTGCAGTAGAGGAGCCGCGACCTCGCGCTTCGGTGTTGTCGGCGTAGAAGGCGAGCCGTTCATGTTCTCGTCGTGAAGCTGGTCGCTGCTGATCCATATCCCGTTGTTCGACGAGAAGGGCGGCGCAAAGGGCGGCCTCCGAGATGACCCCCTGCTGTCGGAGAAGCGCCTTGCAGGGCCGCCACTCTGGGCCGAGCCCTTGAAACACGATGTTGACAAAAATTTCCTCTGATATCGAGCTTCCCAACTTCGCGATTTGATCACGAAGGCTCCGACATTGATTAATATATCTGTTTGCCTTCTCCCCTGGGGCCATTTTGGTCTCCAGTAGCTGCTGGAACAGCCGGCTCGAGGAAACGGAGTCCTTCGGCTGGTACACGCAGGTGGCGCCAGGCGTCGGGAGCTGGAGCGGGCGGGGTTTTGTATGAACGAATGCTCAACTGCTCCGCCGGCGACATGTTGCGCAGAAGAACACCGTACGCCATCAGGGACTCGTTGATAGTACCTTGTCTTAGCGTCGTCGGTGCCTTCAGCGGGCTCCGCGAAACTCCCATCGAAGTAATGAAAAGTCTAAGCGTTCTGCAGCAGGAGCTCCAGTTCGAAGCTCCAGGTATAGAAGTCTCTGCCGTCAAAACACACACTTGTCTTTATTTTTTATATGCTGAGAAACCTTGATTGCACAGAGAAAATTGCCTCTTCGCTGGGACGGGGAGTCTTGGGAGTTGAGCCATTTGTGTCGAGGGAGAAGGTGTGCGAGGCGGCGTTCTGGCCGTTTGGGGCCGGTTGAGAAGGCTGCGAGGAGGTTCTCGTGTCGCCATTCCGCAATGTTTGGAGCCCTTGCTCCAAGCTGGTGAGTCGCTGAAGTAGTTGTGCGAGGACTTCGGTCCCGATCGTCGTTGTTGTTTCCTCGCTTGTCGCAGCCGGGTTGGGTTGCGCTTCAGCCGTCAGATTTGTCTGACCGCCAGATCCTCCAGCCATTCTCATACGCGATCGTGTGCCGGATGCCACTTTCCGAATGTCGAAGATTTCGGAGGTGGCAGTGCGAAGGATTCTCGAGTCGCTCTCATACCATGTTGCGATAAAAAAGGTGATCAACCCTAGGATCTCCTCAGGAAGGTTCACACATAGTTGGGTAGAGGTGGTGGGCCCTTTGACCTCAATAGCAGAGTGAATGTAAAATGCTTGAGATGATTAAAACATCCAAATACAGAAGGTATAAATATGAGTACAGGGGAATTCGAATCGACCTAGCTAGCCATGTACTTTAAGTGGTACATTCCCTTATTCAAATCCATTCCCAATAGCACGACGCCTATGGCAACAAGTTGGATCCAAGAACTTTTCGCTTTTGGTCAAGTTTGGCTATAGCAAGGTCGAAGCTCTTATACACGCGACAACGTCATTCCGTGCGTTTTTCGTATCGCATATCCTGCAAGTTGTTGCGTATGTACCTGCAGCACACTTGATCGTAGAGGTAGACATGCAGCAGGTTCCACCTTTGCTCTGGTGTCGTGCATTTCATGGTTGTTAGCATCGCCGCGAGCAGGCTTGTCGTGCAGGCTAGAAATCCACTAGTGCATATGGAGTTTTATATACAAGGATTTCAGCTGTGTCAGACATGACAACCTGGCAATAGGGAAAAGGCACAAAAGCAACAAATTGATTCTCACTCACAAACTGGGGTTTTGGGTTTAGGGCCTTTGAGTGGTGCACAGCAAGTGATGACGAGAACAATGGGTTGCAAAGGTAATAAGGGAGGGTAGTGGGCGTGAAGAAATAAGGGTTTCGGGTTTGGAGTTATTGCAATGCCATGACAAACAAATAACTGGGCTGTAGTGAGCAACATGAATATCCAATAGGTGTGCAAGTTACCACATTTACATACAAGACACCGTTGGCAGGTGGGAACATCTTCATGGCTGCCACCTTTGTTGCGAACGATTCGAGATGCTGCGAGAACGTGTTGTAGTCCGGTGCGATCCCTTTGTTTGCTTCACCAACTGCTGTTCCCACAGTACGCCGGTTAGCAAGAATCACCTGCGGCTGCGCCCCATAAATTTCGAGCAAGGGTAGGCCTATGCGATACGCACTGTCGTTTCAACGCCGTTTGACATATTTTGAATAAATTATTAGTCTAGTGTATTGCAAGGACGCTGCACAGATTTGTTAAGGATAAATAATGTTTTGACGAGGATAGGCCTCTGCGACACGCGGTGTCGTATCGACATACGTTTATCATTCATACAAGGTTTCTTTTGACCATTCCTTCGTTTACTATATTGAAAGGATGCTGGACAGTTTTGGTGCTAGTTCCAAAATCTTGTAGGACAGTACTGTATTTCAAACAATTAAATAGGATAGGACGGGACAGCGTGGGGTGACGGGACAGGACGGCGGCACTAGAGGACGGGGGATGCTGGGACATGATAGCGGCGGGTGACGGGCGTGACTGGCTAGTGGGGCGCCACGGGCGAGCGGGGCCGTCCCTCCCCAGTGCGGCCCCAGCCACGCGACCCCTCCCCGCGCCGCGCCACACGCTGCCCCTCCTTGGGGGGGCGGAGGCCGCGCGACCCCTTCCGAAGGATTCCCAAGTGACTCCTCATTTTTGGATCTTATCCACGCAGCCTTCCGTGACATCATCCGCTACTTAGTTTGTGAAGCAATCGGTATGTATATATGTTTGCGGGCCCCTTCGTAACCCTCATTCAAGACGCACACTGATTATTTTCCCACTCTTTGTTGTGCTTTGCATGTTCTCAAGTGGCTCCAAAATCTCAAAGAAACTTGTAGGTGGAATTTATTGCAACTGCCACTTGGGCACTACTTCAAGGTAGGTGCTTCCTACCAGGCATATGAGCATTGTTCAGTGATGCAACTGCTGTCAAATCTCGTGTCCTCTTACATCGAGTAACCACAAATGGATGCACTCATTTCGTTCCTCAATTGGTACTCGGAGTGCGCAAAGGCAACAACCTTTGACGACAACACTCTTTAACGGTTGAAGGAACTAGCAGTGAGGCAAGATCACTTGCACGTTTTCTACAAATGTTTTTTTCTCTCCCCCTTTTGTAGGATGGTCGATTAACTGACACGCACATTTAACATTGTACGAAATATAATAATACCACAATGTAACAGAGCTACACCACGAATTTTAGTGGGGACGGAAAGAGAAGAAAATAATAGAAAGAGTGGAAGAAGAAAGAAGGAAGAGAAATAGGGAAAAAGGAAAGAAAAACAAAAAACACTGCCTCAAGAAAACCACAATAGCACGACACCTATAGAACCCCATCAAGACACCCCACTGAGACACCCCAACAATACGCCCCATCTAACCAAAACCCTCCCACCTAAAGCCACCCTCTTAAAGCGGCAGTATACATTTGGCAGGGCCAGTGCCAAAAGTTTATAAAAGGTACCTGGGGGTAACCGAATTACAGGGTCACTCGACTTCTCTCTCGAGGGTCCGTGTCTTTCCAATCCCCCGGAGCAGACTCTCACGTCAAAAGTTTATGGTATGCCAAAAGTATACTGAAGGAGTTGCCTCCTCCCAACTAGCCCCACCCCATTAGCTCAGCGTCAACTAGCGTAACTACCGTGCGTGCGCAAAAGCCAATGCAATCCGTAATAACCGAGGGTAGCGCATCTCTCTGTTAGGTCATTTAGCGACCATACGACCGTCTATATTGCTTCGCTGCAATGACATTCGCCGGCCCAGCTGTGAAAGGCTAGAAACCGAATAGAGTTTAGTGGCGACGCGACGCGGGGAATCGCCGCCGTCGCAAACCCCAGCACGCGGCCACGTGAAAGCCGAGGAAATTAGCCACTCCGCGCCGTCCAGATCTGATGGCGCCGGACCGGCCCCGCAGTTTATCTTGAACACGCGTGGCAACGAACGCCGCGGGATAGCTTCGCTCCCACGCTCACGGTAGGCGCCTCATAGCCCAGTCACTCAGATTCGGCTGACGCAGGTTGAGTAGGCGCGACGGTGAGCATTTTTTCCAACCTTATCTTCCCCCCGATTTGCTGCCCTTACCGCCGCGATTCCACTTCCCGCCGCTCCGTGAGCCCCTTTCCGCCGCCCAACTCCCTTTCCCGCCGCTCGATTCCCAGTTCCGCCGCCCCTTTGACCTTCCCGCAGCCCAAATCCCATTTCCCGCCGTCGATTCCCCTACCCGCCGCCCGAATCCCCTTTCCCGCCCCCCAATGCCCTTTCCCTCCGCCCGATTCCCCTTTCCGCCGCCCCTTTGACCTTCTCGCCACCAGATTCCCCTTTCCCGCCGCCCAATTCGCCCCCCGCCGCCCGAATCCCCATTCCCGCCGCCCGATTCCCTTCTCGCCGCCCGATTCCCCTTCCCTCCGCCCGATTCCCCATTCCCTTCCCTCCCTTCCCTCCCTTCTCTCCTCTCCGTTCTCTCCCTCTCCCTCCCTCCCTTCTCTCCCTTCTCTCCCTTCCCTCCCTCTCTCTCCTCCCTCCCTCCCTCCCTTCCCGCCCTTCTCTCCCTTCAATCCCTTCTCTCCCTTCCCGCCCTTCTCTTTCTTCCCTCCCTTCTCTCCCTTCTCTCCCTTCTCCCTTCCCTCCCTTCCCTCCCTTCCCTCCCTTCCCTCCCTTCCCTCTCCCTTCCCCTTCTCTCCCTTCCCGCCCTTCTCTCCCTTCCATCCCTTCTCTCCCTTCCCTCCCTTCTCTCCCTTCCATCCCCCTCTCCCTTGAAACCCTTCCTTCCCTTTCGATCCCTTCCCTCCCTTCCCTCCCTTCTCTCCCTCTCCCTTCTCTCCCTCTCTCCCTTCTCTCCCTTCTCTCCCTTCTCTCCCTTCTCTCCCTTCTCTCCCTTCCCTCCCTTCCCTCCCTTCTCTCCCTTCCCTCCCTTCCCTCCCTTCCCTCCCTTCCCTCCTTTCTCTCCCTTCCCTCCCTTCCCTCCCTTCCTCCCTTCCATCCCCTCTCCCTTCCCGCCCTTCTCTCCCTTCCATCCCTTCTCTCCCTTCCCTCCCTTCTCTCCCTTCCCTCCCTTCTCTCCCTTCTCTCCCTTCCCTCCCTTTCCTCCCTTCTTTCTGTTCCTCTCCCAGCTCCCTTCTCCCATCGTTGTCGCCCACTGTACTCATTCCATGTCCTCACCTGCCTTCATTCTTTCTCCCCTTCTTTCCCCTCCTTCTCCCCTCCTTTGTCACTGGCCACGCTTTGTCCTGCTTGTAGCTGAAGCTGTCCCCTCTCCTTCCTCCAAATCACCTCGTCCCTCTCCGTCGCACTCTTCCAGCCATTCTCAGTCTCGTAATCCTCACCGACATCCCTCCATTCCTGCTTCCTGTAATCAACCCCCCCTTCTGCCCTCTTGTTTCCGTGCATGTGCTGCCATCACTTTGTCACCATTCATGCCTTTTTACTCATGTTTACTCGCTTGTATTCCCTCTGACCCCTCCCGCCCTTCCTATCTCCCCACACTTACTACCCATCTCACTCACCTTCCTATCTTCCCATCTCACCTCCCTGCGTTCCTATCACACCTCCTTGTCTTACGTGCCAAGGGTTTGGGGGCCCCATTTACCGCTGCGAAACCAGGTGTCAGACAACCTGTATGCATATGCAAAGCTGCCGGTTTTGCATGCAAGTCAGCACCATATGAGTGTGCCAATTCCCTCTGCTCCAGTGAGCTTGTCTAGGGGAGGGGCATCATGTTCCAGGAGTGTGTCATGACATGAAGATGGCACCAATAGTAGAGGATGGTGCGGTTTGTATATTGACGATGAAAATATGTGTACAAAAAACTCTTATACGACATCATACTGTGGTAACAAGCAAACCTAATAATGGCTTTTAGAAAGAGTCAAGACGTTGGAAAGACAGATATCACATCATATGTATTGGATGCATGTGAACATTTGGATATACATGTGTTATGACATTCTGCTGATGTCATTATACATTGAGGGCACACACAACCCTAGACTGAACGAAACTGTGCACGTGCCCCACAGGTTCACCTGCCCCTCCCTCCCCACTGTCACCACACTGCCCGTATTCAGCCCCAGCAGCATGCGCAGCGCTATGGTTTGCAGGGGATGGCATGGGGGAAAGACCCGAAGGGGAAGTGATGGGAGATGGGGAGGGGTGAGACAAGAGTAGTATGGGAGAGTGAATGAGATGGGGTGTGATGTGGGGATTCAATTGCATGTGCATGTAGGGTGAGCATGCGACGTGCCAAAAGCACAAGTTGCAAACGGACAGAGACGTACCCAGCAGCGCCACACGCCCACCGTTTCCACCCCTATCCACACTACTCATGCTCGCCATACTTCAACACACATATGCCCAACGCACTCCTCCCCACAGCGGCCCGATGCATGCCCTGGTGGGTCGAAAGCGGGCCAGCTGCCCGCGCAGCACTATCTGGCAGGCACTCAAGGCGGAGAGCAGGCGAGAGAGAGGGAGCAAGGATTAGGATTAGAGGTGAGTGAGTGATGGTGTTGGAGTGCGGTGGAATGGGGGGAAGAGGGAGACGAACAATATCGATGACAGACACAACATGATGTGAGAAGGCATGAGGTGAGAAGAGAAGGCATGACGTGTGAAGGCATGACATGAGAAGGCATGTTTTGAGAAGGCATGACGTGAGAAGGCATGACGTGAGAAGGCATGATGTGAGAAGGCATGATGTGAGAAGGCATGATGTGAGAAGGCATGATGAGAGTAGGCATGATGTGAGGAGGCATGATGTGAGAATGAATGATGTGAGAAGGCATGATGTGAGAAGGCGGGGAGAGGTGAGAGCGGAGACGAGAGGAGACGATGAGACAAGGCGAGAGGAAAGCGCGAGAGGGAGGGAGACAGAGGAGGTGTAGGGAGGGGAGCAGAGGGGAGGGGAGGGGAGTGGAGGGGGGGGGAGGGGAGCGGAGGTGGGGGGATGGGAGCGGAGGGGGGGGGAGGGGAGGGGAGCGGAGGGGAGCGGAGGGGAAGGGAGGGTAGCGGAGGGGAGCGGAGATGACCACGAATTGAGCGAGGCCTTTCAGCAGCGCTGCCCGAGGTCCGTTCCCTCACTGTGCGGTGGAGGGCACATGCACCGATGCACGCATGCACACAGCACACAAGCGTGCACGCATTCATGCACACAAGCAAGCCTGCACACATGCAAATAGGCACACATGCACACGTATGCACACATATGCACACATTTGCCCAGATGCACATATATGCACATACGCACATGCAAGCACGCAACCAGGGAAACCCGAACACGTGAAGACACAGATGCAAGCAGGGGTGCATGCGGGGAACGGATGCCATTTCCCTAAGCAGTTGGCGCTAAGTGGGTGAGGCGAGCAGCGGGTGACGCGCTAAGCGGGTGACGCGCTAAGCGGGTGACGCGCTAAGCGGGTGACGCGCTAAGCGGGTGAGGCGCTAAGCGGGTGAGCCCGCCGACCTAGCCAATGCATGGATCGCGGCGAATCCGCCGAGGGCAACGCCACGTGAGCAATGATTGCATTGCAGGATGGTCGTTTCCGTTGCAAGTGACTTTCCCGTGGGCATGAGATGGATCTGACTATGCGACATGCTAACAAGCAGTTATCGTAACAGCGACGAAAACGATTACGAGGTAGACAAAAATCCACGAATGTCTGCGCTGTTTGGGAAAGCAAGGCGCAGTCAGCGCCGTCTATCGCGCTAAATCTAATTCGGCGAACCCTGAAAGAACAACTACTAGGTGTTTGGTGAGGAGGGCTTCCTTTCCTGTTCCACCTCTTCCCCCTTCCCCCCCCCCCCCCCCCCCCTTGCCCCCTCTCCCGCGAAACTGTCTAGGGGTTCAGAATTTTCGCCAAACCTCTCGCCAAGAAGTTTTCCTTTCGCTTGGGCGAAATCGTTTTGTACACTGTACAAACTTCAACAGTACTGCCAAATGTATACTGCTGCTTTAACCCGCATGTCTACCAAGTAGGGCGCATCCGCCCTTCGAGCATCCAATCCCACCTCCTCCTCAACATCCTCCCGCTCCACCCAAACAGCCTCTGGGCCTCTCATCATCGACGCTGCGCATAACAAGAGAACACGCGCCTGAGCTCGCTGCAACGCCACTCGTATGGCCGCTCTAAGTGATCCGAGCAAATAAGCAAAGAAACCTTTTTCCGTAGCTCTCGCCACCCCTTTCATCTTCGCTACCTCAATCTGCGCGTTGGCATATTCCTTAAGCCACCGTCCAAAACCCCCCCCAGGCATCCCGATGTCTCTGCAATAAGAGGTGTGAACTGCACTTCCTATGTCGTAGCAGAAGCGATTTGTAATCCGCTTTTCCCCCTCTCTAGTGGCAAAAACCTCCTTGCAGCCAATCTGTCCATGGTGCTGCGCTGACAACAAGATAAGGTCTACAACGCTAACCTCTAGCGCATGCTCCTCCCCCTCCCTCATTCTCTGAACCGCCACATCCTTTCTCTTCCCTGGCAGCAATGTGCCGTCTTCCATGGTCACAACCCCACCCACCACTTTAGCTATCTTCGCCACCACAAACTTAACCGCATCGTGAACATGAGAAGGTGCATACTGATTGTTGCAGCGGAGAGCATGATGCGGATCAGAGGGATCAATAAACTCAGACCCACTCGCGGACTTGTCGGAGACTATCGCTGCTGTATAGGGAGGCCTAGGCGCATGGCCGCACAGATGCTCCATTCGGCTACGGTGAAGGTAGCCTCTTCGTGCAAAGGAACGACACAGACCCACGCCCCTGCCTCCGGGCCCTGAAGGGATGTCAAACGGGCCAGGGTGGCATCGTTGTGGGCCATACCTTGAAGAGACTGCAGGCTCTTAAACGCTAGGCGACGGTGTTATGTGGGGAAAAGCAGCACAGAGGGGTCAGCGGTGCACAAGGCAAGAAGCGGGATTTCCTGCCAGACCGACAGTGGAAGCAGCTCCACTGCTCTCGCAAACCAGGGATCCAGCAAAGTCGTAGCCTCGGGCGTGCGGAAAAACTCCTCAAACACCTGCTCATCGTTTGCCACCCCCATCCGAGCCACATCGCTCACTTCCTGGCACCAGCCACATGCGTATGACAAAAGACTAAGGTCAACTGCGGATTGAATGCCAAACCCCCAAGTCTGGCTAGAAGATGCAGCTGTATACGGGCCATCTGCGACTTTTTTGAATCGTGATCTCATGTACTATCTGGAGACAGCTGCTCAAAACAGCCCTCAAGCTTGTGTCCCAGTCACGGAAAGTCTCCACAACCTCAGGTCGTGGAGGCATCGTCCGTGTGAGGTAAATCGGGCGCGCTGACTCTGCGATCGCCAGCATGTGAGACGCAATCTGTGGGTGGTCAAGCAGAGGAAGCCAAGGGACAGGTGCATGCAGCTGCGTCAGCCGGTCTTGCAGGCTAGCCACCTCCCATACCTCCTCCCAAATGGTACCCCTACTACAGTAAGCACTGTCCATGTTTGCTGCATGCCGGATGGGACAGTCTCGTTCCTCTCCTCTCCCTCCTGGTCCACCCCTCGCTCCCATAGCTTACACTTATTCGGCTGAACCTCCAGACCAAGCCCGTCCAAGCTTTCCCGCAAGACCTCATAGGCTGCTAACACCCGCTCCCTAGGCCCCAAGATACACGTATCATCGGCGTAGCTGGGGAAAATTAGGTCGGCAAATTCTTGTTTGGATGGTTCCATACCAACTGCTGTGTGAACGCGAACAGAGACGGCCCCAATGGGTCCCCTTGCCTCGAGCCCCGCTCGGAAGCCAAAGCTTTGACGAAGGGACCCGCACGGAGGTAGAGGTTGCTAGGATTGCTGTAGAAGACACGCAGAAATGGAATCAACCCCGCGAAAGGCGACTGTCGAAGACCTTCAAACATTTCCCGCCGATGGAAGGAGTTGAAAGCGTTCGCCACGTCAATTTGTAGCGCGCACCATGACGGGTGAGTAGAGATGGCAGAACGAAAGGCATGTGCGAGGACTTCCACTCCCGACCTAGATCCGACTCCAAGCTAGTTACACGGAGCAAAGTGCGACATCATCTTCGGACGAAGCACGATGCATAGGGCCCGGGATTGTATGCAGGGGAGCACCTCGCCTATAGCCACCGGGCGAACGTCACCATTCGGCTTCGACAGGCCCACAAGGTTGGACGCAGTGAGCCAGGGTCGCACGCGCTCCGCTACCTCTCCCTTGGTCCACTGGGTGAAGACCCCTAGCAGGTGAGGCAGGTATGCGGGCTCAGAGA